TGCCTTGCATGCATCGGGATCCCATATGGGTGCTGGTTCTAATCCCAGCAGCTCCTGCTTCCCATCCAGCTCCCTGCTTGTGGCCTGGGAAAGCAGTCAAGGATGGCCCAAAGCTTTGGGACCCTGCACCCATGTGGGAGACCCAGAAGAGGCTCCAGGCTCCTGGCTTCAGATGAGCTCAGCTCTGGCCATTGCTGCCGCTTGAAGAGTGAATCAGTGGATGGAAGTTCTTCCTCTCTGTCTCTCTTCCTCTCCGACTTTCCAATAAAAATAAATATATATATATATAATATGCATTGAATTGCTAGGCATCCCTGAGATGTCAGGCAACACAGAAAGCAACACTATCAACTACATCATGATGCCCACCTCAGCCATCCATTCTTAACCAGGAAAAAATGGAACACTTTAACTTAATAAGAGAATGAAATAATATAGGCTGGGAAAGCTGGCATTGCACATACCAAAGAAAGTCACTGTTCCTCCAGTTCTGATCCAGCTCCCTGCTAAAGGCATATGAAAAGCAAGGGAAGATGGCCCCTGCCACCTATATGGAGGACCTGGATGGAATTCCAGGTTCTAGGCTTCAACCTGGCCAAGACCTGGTATTATGGTCATTCAGAGAGTGTAAAAGTAGATATACAAATCTTTCTCTCTTTCTCTCATTGTAATTTTGTCTTTCAAATAAATAAATCTTTAAATAGATAAAGATATATAGGCATAAGTATAAATATAGATATAGGTTTCATCTTTTCATGTTTTACAATAGGAAATTGTGAAGATAACTTAAAAAAGTCTCTACCCATGAGCAAGAACAGAAAAGCAGTACCTAAAAGCAGATGAACAAATATCTGGCACATGGTTTTAATAAAACAATCTAAATTTTATGCAGTATTTGACTGCAGAAATAACACTTTAGAAGAAATTCATCCACATATTGTCTAAAAAAGCCCCAATTCCTAAAAAGCTAAATCAGTATGAGTGGTACTAGTAGAGACTCCTAACAGAGAGAGATACAAATGAGAAACTGACTTTAATATACAAATGAGCCAAATGTAAAACACAGAACTTACTTTCAGGAAAAAACACACTAATCTTAACTTTAATTGCAAGGGCGACAAGTAGGCACTAGTTAACTTCCACACTCACTAAACAGTCATATCTACAAATATCCAGTGAAATCTTTTTAAGATTAATTTGGGAACCAGCACACTTGCTCAATTGGTTAATCTTTTGCATTCCAACACTGACATCCCATATGGGAGCCAGTTCATGTCCACTTCTGATCCAATTTTCTGCTATGGCCTGGGAAAGCAGTAGAGGACAGCTCAAAGCCTTGGGACCCTGCACCCGTGTGGGAGACCTGGAAGAGGCTCCTGGCTTCTGACTATGAATCGGCTCAGCTCTGGCCATTGTAGCCATTTGGGGAGTAAATAGAAGATCTTTCTCTCTGTCCTCTCTGTGAATCTGCCTTTCCAATAAAAATAAATTTAAAAAGATACAGAAAATACAAAGAGATCTTCCACATACTAGTTCAATAATAATAATAAACTTTTTAAAATTAGCAGGGTCCCAAAGCGATAGTGTAGTGGTTAAAGTCCTCACCTTGAACACGCAAGGATCCCATATGGGCACCGGTTCTAATACCAGCGGCCCCGCTTCCCATTCAGCTCCCTGCTTGTGGCTGGGAAAGCAGTCGAGGACGGCCCAAAGCTTTGGGACCCTGCACCCGTGTGGGAGACCCGGAAGAAGTTCCTAGATCCTGGCTTCGGATCGGCATAGCACTGGCCGTTGCACTCACTTGGGGAGTGAATCATCGGATGGAAGAGATTCCTCTCTGTCTCTCCTCTCTGTATATCTGTCTTTCCAATAAAAGTAAATAAATCTTTTTAATTAGCAGACACACTGTTCCTCAAAAATCTGCATTATATTAAAAAAAATGGGGTGAGCATTTAGTGTACCACAGTGCCTGAGACAGAAAGAAAGATCTGCCTGCGAGTTCACTTCCCAAGTGGCCACAAAAGCCAGAGCTGAGCCTATCTAAAGTCAGGAGTCTCTTCCAGGTTTGCCACATGGGTGTAGGGTCTCAATCTTTGGGCCATCCTCTATTGCTTCCCCAGGCCACAAGCAGGGAGCTAGAATGGAAGTGGAGCTGCTGGAACACGAGCCTGCACCCATATAAGATCCCGGTGCATACAGAGTGAGGATTTAGCCTCTGAACCATCTAATCAGGCCCCCAAGTCTACTTTATTTCCAGCTTCATGCTAATGTGCACTTCTAATGTAGCAGATGATACTCAACTACTTGTGTCCCTGAACTGAACTGAACTGAACTGAACTGAGTTTGGGCTCCTGGCTTCAGCTTAGCCCAGTGCTGGCTGCTGCAGGTAGGGGAGTAAGCGAGCAGATGAGGATATGTCTCTGCTTTTCAAATAAAAATGAAAAGACTTTAATCTAAATATGAAATCTTAAAAAAAATATAGTAATTACTTTCTATTCCAACTTTTGGTCTCAAACACTTCTGTGTTCCTTTAAAACTTCCCAAAGTTTATACTTGTTTGATACTATTCTTTAGTTTGGAAGAAATGTTTTGTTACTGTCAAGGTAATTTTAGACTACATAAAGCCTCTCTAAACCCAGTTGATTCTTAGAAATTCTCCCATCTATAAAACATGAGAATTAGAACCAAATTAACAAATCAGATATCAGAATGCCAAAAATTAAGTCATTAAAAGAGAATCCAGAGAAAGAGCCAGTTGTGAAAGAACAGGAAGTGATGTATACTGCCATTTTGTAGATGAACTATTTAGAAACATAAGAAGTGCCATACTAATCTGGAATCAACTCAGATGAATAGCTCCATATACTCTTTCTGACAGTGGCATCGGTAGTCATCTGAAATAACCTTCGAGCAGTTTTTCCTTAACAATAAATTTACCTAATTGATGAAGAACATGCTTTTATCACTTTCACAAACAGTTCCTATAGCTACAGAAAAAAGGATTTCTTTTGCAGTCTCTTAAAGAATGCTCTTAGTTCTACTAACATACTAAAATATTGCACGTAGTTAACCTATATCATGTAAAGGTCTGTAACTTTTGTAGCTTTTATGAATAAACTCTTCCTGCATCTTTCCAATGTAAAAGCACTCTTTACTGAGAATATATATGCAATTTATATGTTACCATATACACATTATCAAAAACAAACCAATTAGGTTCTATGGTATAGTTTTATACATCCACATATCACAACTGCAGCTTTCTGCAATGAAATATCCAAAATAAATAGTACTGTTTCATTTAAATGAATTGAGATAAACAGCTAAAGAAAATAAGGCAAAGAGAGTTCCATTGTTAAGGAAAAAAATGTATTTAACACATCTACTACACCACAATCAGAAAATATGATGAAAATAAATTTGTGCCTAGCACTACTATTAACATCTTTAAACCCCTGTATTGAAATAGCAATGCTCAGACAACAAGAAAGTTGTCATGAACGTTGTTTAATGACAACATAAATGTAGGTGGCATTTGGAGGTATTTAAACATAAGTCACCCAACTAAGTTCAAAATCTAAGACAAAATCCAAAATCCATCTTGTAGGTAAAATATCAAGACACAATCCACATGTACTTTAATCACTTCATAACATCATGAAAAAACTCATTTGATTCTAGATTCATAGATGGACTGTTTCAGAGCAGTTTCACCTGCAAATTGAAACACTCAAAGAAAAATGTATCGAGAGTGTATCGAAACTATTTCAAAACATGAAGACCACTTTTTGTTCAAAAACAGCACTTGGCAACACACTTCCAGAATGTAAACATTTTTACTTATTTCTACTCTAAGGACAAAACCAACAAGTATCTGTTTTAAAACAAATAGAAAGCAAAGAAAACCAAAAAATGACAGAATACAGACCCACCTTCACATAATTAGGTAATGCTTATTATTTTTCATTGCTTTAAAGCATTTACTATAGAAAGGCTTTCAACCTAATTATTTTCAGAAGATTCCTATTTTAATTACACAAAATATTAACCTTAGAGATATACAACTCAGCGGATACGTCCATCACATGGCTTGTATGTAAGAAATAATCTTAGTAACTCTTCAAGTGCAACAAAACTCGCAGGAAGGAAAAAGAGAAAGGAGCAGTAGAAAATTTTACTGGAATGCTAATAAAAACCTAACCTGCTCACCAAAAACATGTCAAATCAGACATCTCTCAAAAAAAGAGAGCAAGAGAAATCTCCAACTGTTCCAATGTAACAAGGGTCCCCTTAAGAGGCTAGATCCCCTAACAATAACAGAAACACATATCTGGACCTCTCACAGGCCGATTGCACAGGAATGGTACTACAGACGGTACTGTTAGGGAACCGAGGGAAAGGGTAACCTTTCCGAGCAAACCGCCATTACTTCCCTCTCTTGCTCCCCCTCCCTTGAGTGTATACATGGATCTGTGTATGAAGAAACTGCCTTTGACTTCTGCAGCATTGCAGTAGGCTAGCGGATGGGGAAGGGGGAAGGGTAGGGGGGAAAAACGATCCTGTCACCCCTTCAGGAGGAGTTGAGATTTTGGGGAGGGGGGTGGAACCCACCCAAGAGCACATCCAGAGCAATCTCCCTTCCCAAGAACCTACAGACACTACAAAGAAGGCGCGGGGGCAAAAAGAAAAAAAAAAAAAGGGACCAGAAGAGAAAGGAACCTCGCGCCTTTAAATTGGGGTGCACATTAACCCAGTCTCCCTAGGAGGGCCACACCTTCCTGGAAACAGCCCCTTCCGGTGACCCTCAGGAAAAAGAAATGTAATTGCTCTTGCCCCTCCAAACTGGAGGGCGCCCAGCTCACCAGCTTCTTTACCCCACCCACGGAATCACAGACCCTCCTTGTCTCCCTCCCCCACCCTCACTCCCACACTGAGGCCTGAGTGGGCCGAATTCCCCGCCCCCTCCATGTCTCCCTTACCCAAACCAGAGGTGCCCTTACCCTTTCGCCAACAGGTCTGGGGTGGGGAAGGCAGGCACAGCCCCCTGCAGCGCTCTGGTGGCCGCTACGCTGGAGGGCAAGGAGTGAAGAGGAGGAGGAGGAGGAGGGGGCCCGGCGACAGACCGCCGCACCCCCCCCACACCCCGGAGCCCCAGCGAGCCGCCCAGCCCAAGCTCTGCGACTAGGGGCAAGGGGGTGGGGGGGGGCGAGGGAACGACCGGGGTCGAAGAGGCGCCCTCAGCCCTGGGGCTCAGCTAAGATGGCGCGGGGAAGTGCCGGGAGCTGCCGCCGCAGCCGCCGCCACCGCCACCGCCGCCGCCGCCGCCGCCTCGGGGGAACCGTCCCGGGCCTCGGCCGCCTCCAGTCCTCACACAGCCGAGGCCCTCTCGGTTCCCCGCGGCGGCCCCTCGGCGGGCGGGCCCACGCGCAGTCCTCGGCCAACACCACCACCCCTGGGAAGGGGGCGCTCACAAAGGGAAGAGAGGCCGCGGGCCGGCCAGCGGGCGGCGGGGCGGGGTCCCCAGGGGCCGCGGGGCCTCAGAGATTCGCGGGTGCCTCACGCTCTGGGCCTGCGAAGTGCGCAGGGCAGGCGGGACCCCTCCTCTCTCCTCAGGCAGGCAGCGGCACCGACTCACTCTCTTTGCCACCCTCCCTCTCTCCGAGCCCTGAAGCCACAGAGCTCGGCCGCTGCCCAGGTTCCCCCCCCTTCCCCGACACCACTCCCCTCCTCCCGACAGTCATCCCAGTCTCCGATCTCGCGAGATTTCCCGCCTGACAGGCCCGACCCTGCGCGAGGCACGACTACGTACACGCGCGCGCGCACGAGCCCTCTCTCACGAGAACGCGCAAAGGCTTGCGCTGGGCGGAGTCACCGTGGCGGCCCTGGGCTCCCTGCCTCTGTCCAGCTCTCCCCGCCTCAGTCCTCTCCGGGAGTTCCTAGGCCACGCGGACATCAGATACGTTTATTTCCACCCGCAAACGTGAGAGAAAAGAGTTTGAATTCCCCCTCTCAAGGCATCCGCCTCTCATTGAATGCGAATGAGAAGTTCACCTTGACGTGTTTAATATCCTATTCCCACACCTCAGTTGGACCCTTCATGGAATTCTGAGGTAAAATCAGTATGAAGTTAAATTTTTAAGATCCTAATACTTTATAGTTTTGGAACAGCAGTAAGACTTTGGAATGCGAATCTTAACCCCTGTTATTGGGGCTTGGCGGCGTGGTCTAGCTGCTAAAGTCCTTGCCTTGAACGCACCAGGATCCCATAAGGGTGCTGGTTCTAATCTTGGCAGCTCCACTTCCCATCCAGCTCCCTGCTTGTAGCCTGGGAAAGCATTTGAGGACAACCCAATGCTTTGGGAACCTGCACCCGTGTGGGAGACATGGAAGAAGTTCCTGGCTCCTGGCTTTGGATCGGCACAGCACCAGCCGTTGTGCTCACTTGGGGAGTGAACCATCGAATGGAAGATCTTCCTCTTTGTCTCTCCTTCTCTCTGTGTATCTGGCTTTGTAATAAAAATAAATAAATCTTAAAAAAAAAAAAACCCTGTTATTGTGGTGATAGCCAGAAACTTCCTGGAATACTTTTGTGGATTCAGTAGATCAATGAGAGACTTTTGAAAACAAGAACCGTGCAAAAACTAAAGGGTCCCAGGGACTTTTGCAGGACAGAGGTATAGCCTACCTCAATTTTCAGAGAGAAACTTTTTTTAGGGAAACATTTCCTCAGTGGTTCTTAATTGCTGAAGAATGAATGGACAAGTACGCCTAGGGGGTCAAGGGTGGTTGTGGCATAGCACATTAAATTGCTCCCACTTCCATCTTGGGTAGACAGCAGAAGATGGCCTGAATGCTTAAGGTCCCTGCCACCCCCGTGGGAGACCTTGATGGACTTCCAGTGTCCAGGCTCTGCCTGGCCCAGGCCTGGCTGTTGGGGCCATTTGGGAGATGAACCAGCCAATGGGGGAGCTGTCTGTTTTCTCTCTCTCCCTGTCTCTGTAAATCTGCCTTTCAAATAAATAAATATTGAAAAAAAAAAGGGGGAGGGTGACTAAAATTTAGTTCTAAACAATAAACAATTGTGGTCCTGGGCCAGCTTTTGTGCCACATGCACATATGCCCTGCTACAGCTCCTGCTCCTTGCTACGCAGTCACTGGAGGCCTGGAGGGAAGAAGTGGTTGGGTGAGAGAGCTCCTTCTCCTCTGTCTTGTAAGTAAAATGTGACCTTTTAAATGATGGCTCTTCAAACAACCAAACAATGATAAATAGAGTAGAAAGAAATGGAACTGTGTTATGAAAGTGTTTCGTTAAGACTTATTTGTTTGTTTATTATTTGTTTATTTATTTATTTATTTGAAAGAGAGAGAGGGACAGGGAGAGAAAGATCTTCCATCTGCTAGTTTATTCCCCAAATAACTACAGTGACTGGGGCTGAAAACGGGTCAGGAACATCATCCAGGACTCCCACATGGGTGAGGGACCCAAGCACTTGGGCCGTGTTTTGTGGCTTTCTCACGTGCTTTAGCAGGAAGCTGAATCTGAACTGGAGCAGCAAGGACTCTAATAGGCACACTTATTGGGATGCCAGCATGGAGGCAACAACTTGACTCACTGTGTCTTAATGCTGGCCCCATGTGTGAATTTTACAAACAAAAGTTTACTTTGAAACAATGATTGCAACTTATAGTAAACCAAGTAAGTAAGGTGGGATTAAAAAATAAAAAGGTTCCTGCTTCTTTCAATGGAATGTAGCTATGACTTGTTCTGAATACTCTCTTTTGTAGTAAAGGTCCTTCCCCTATGCCTGTCATTCCTCTTTTCACCTATATCATCAACCACCGCCCAATGGCAACTTCCCCTTCTTCTTGAGATGGGAACCAAAAAGATGACTACCTACATCTCTCTTCCCCTTCACAGCCAAACTTCTTGGAAAAATTGTGTGTCCTTCCACCTCCACTAGGATTGATCTTGCCAAGTTTAAAAGTAACCTTGAACCGGTGTCCTCATATTTTTTAAAAAAGATTTATTTATTTTTATTGCAAAGTTGGATATACAGAGAGGAGGAAAGACAGAGAGGAAGATCTTCCGTCTGGTGGTTCACTCTCCAAGTGACTGCAACAACTAGAGCTGTGCTGATCCAAACCAAGGAGCCAGGAACCTCCTCCAGGTCTCCCACGCTTTGGGCGTTGGTTTCCCAGGCCACAAGCAGGGAGCTGGATGGGAAGTGGAGCTGGCGGACTAGAACCGGCACCCAAATGGATCCCGGCGCATTCAAGGCAAGGACTTTAGCCGCTAGGCCTCGCAGCCGGGCCAGGCAGGTTTATTTTCAATTCTCTAAGCACTCTCCATACTGATTTCCATAGTGGTGTACTAGCCTACACTCCCATCAGCAGTGAAGGAGAGTACCTTTCTCCCTACATCCACACCAGCAGTTGTTGTTATTAGAGTTCTGAGTATAGGCCACTCTCACTGGAGTTAAGTGGAACCTCAATGTGATTTTCGTGTGTACATCCTTAATGGCTAGGGAGCCTGAGCATCTTTTCATATGTCTGTTAGCCATTTGCATTTGTTCTTTTGAAAAATGTCTGTTCATTCCCTTCGCCTATTTCTTCACAAGTTTTTGTTGATTTTTTTTTTAACCTTCCCTGGGTTTCTGAAGCTCTCTGTAAATCCTGGATATTAGTCCCCTGTCACTTGTATAGTGTGCAGATTTTCTCCCATTCCGTTGGTTGCTTCTTCACTTTGTTAACTGTTTCCTTTGCTGTACAGAAGTTTTTTAGTTTGATGTAGTCCCATTTGTTTATTTTGGCTTTGACTGCCAAATAAGTTATTTGAGTCTTTTCCAAAAAGTCTTTTCCATTTCTTATATCTTGGAGAGTGCTTCCTATGTTTTCCTCTAATGATTTGATGATTTCTGGGTGTAGACTTAGGTCCTTGATCCATTTAGAGCTGATTTTTGTATAATGCTACAGATGCAGATCTTGCTTCTTACCTCTGCAGACTGCTATCCATTTGTCCCAACAAAATTTGTTGAAGAGACCAGCTTTTCCCCTGGATTGTTTTCAGGTTTCCTGTCAAAGATTAGTTGGCTATACATGTGTGGACTCCCTTCTGGTGTTTCTATTCTGTTCATTTGATCTTCTCTGTTTCTGTGACACTACAGGAGAACCAAAAAACACAGTCTAGAGACTGTTGGAACTCATAAGAGACTTTGGCAGAGGAGCAGAATATAAAATTAATGAACACAAGTCTATGGTGCTTGTGCACTCAAATAATTCCATGGCTGAGAAAGAAATTGTTAAGTGTAGTCCCTTTTAAAATAAAGGAGAGAAATCTTAAATATCTAGGAATTTAACTAAATATGTGGAAGAACACTATGATGAAAACTATATCTGACTTTGCAATAAAAATAAATAAATATTTAAAAATAAGTCATATATACAGAGAGGAGGAGAGATAGAGAGGAAGATCTTCCATCCAATGATTCACTTCCCAAGCAATCACAACTACCATAGCTGAGCTGATCCAAAGCCAGGAGTCCAGAGCCTTTTCTGGGTCTGCCACGTGGGTGCAGGGTCCCAAAGCTTGGGCCATCCTGGACTGCTTTCCCAGGCCGCAAGCAGGGAGCTGGATGGGAAGTGGAGCTGCTGGGATTAGAGCCAGCACCCTTATGGGATCCTGGAGCATTCAAGGCGAGGACTTTAGCTGCTAGGCCATCACGCTAGGCCCCACAACCGTATTTTTTTATTTTTTTATTTTATTTTTTTTTTTAAAGATTTATTTTTTTTTTTATTATTTTTTTCATTGGAAAGGCGGATATACAGAGAGGAGAGACAGAGAGGAAGATCTTCCGTCCGATGATTCACTCCCCAAGTGAGCGCAACAGGCCGATACTATGCCGATCCGAAGCCAGGAACCTCTTCTGGGTCTCCCACGCGGGTGCAGGGTCCCAAAGCTTTGGGCCGTCCTCGACTGCTTTCCCAGGCCACAGGCAGGGAGCTGGAAGGGAAGTAGGGCTGCCGGGATTAGAACCGGCGCCCATATGGGATCCCGGGCGTGCAAGGCGAAGACCTTTAATCACTTGCGCCACCGCGCCGGGCCCCAACCGTATTTTTTTAAACACATTTCTTTTTCTTCTTCTCTGTTTTTTTTCCCCCCATTTGAAAGGTAAACAGAGAAACAGAGAGGTCTTCCATTTGCTAGCTCACCTTTCCCTCCCTCTCCCAAAAGCTGGTAACAGCAAGAAGTAGGCCTGACTAAAGCCAGAAACAAATAACTTGATCCTGGTCTCTCATACAGGTTTCAGAAACTCAAGTACTTGAGTTGTCATCTCCTGCCTCCTATGGTGTTTGTAAGCAGGAAGCTGATCAAAAGCAAAGTGGCTGAGTACCATGGAAGTAGATATTGCAATCAGGAAAGCAGATGCTATAACATGCCCAACCCCTACCTGGAGTACTTTTTTTTTTTCATGTATTTATTTGAAATTTATAGTTTCAGAGAGAGAGGAGAGACAGAGATCTTCTGTCTGCTGATTTACTACCCAAATGGCTACAGTGGCCAGGACTGGGTCAGGCTGAAGCCAAGAGTTTCATCCAAGTTTCCCACATGGATGAGAGGACTCAAGTATTTACCCACTTCCTGCTGCTT